CAGTGGTTATGTTTACACCTTCCGTGTTTACGAAGGTAAAGACAGCCACTTGGATCCCCCAGGTTGCCCGGATATCATTGGGACGAGTGGAAAAATCATATGGGATTTAATTGACTCATTGCTAAGTAAGGGGTATCAATTATTTATTGACAATTACTATAATAGCATCCCTCTTCTTAGGATGCTTTATTGCTTTGAAACTGTGGCCTGCCGCACTATCTGAAAGACACATGTCGGTTTCCCAAAAGCCCTGGCACAAAAAAATCTCAAGAGGGGGGAAATGGCTGCTCTCTGCCAAGACGAACTGCTGGCTCTCAAATTCAAAGATAAGAAGGAGGTGTTCATGCTAACATCTGTGCATACTGAGCACACTCGAAGAGTCGCAGTTCGTGGCAGACAAGAAATTAGACGGGTGCCAGTCTGCATTAGGCAGTATAACAAGCACATGGGGGGAGTTGACCTGTCCGACCAACTGCGGCAACCCTATTTAATACTGAGGAAGACCAGGGCATGTTACAAAAAGCTTGGCATTTACCTTATGCAAATGGCGACTCACAATGCCTTTATTCTGTACAAAAAGGCAAATGCTGACATTAAATCCACATTTCTGGATTTCCAGTTTCAGCTTATTTCTGGGCTGCTCACTGAGTGCCACAGTGGGGAACCATCAGCTGGGCATAGCAGCAGAAGGGTTGAGACAGGTCACTTCTGTTTCCGGATACCACCAACCCCCAAAAAGAAGACACCCCAGAAAAGGTGCAGGTTGTGCTACCAGAGGTGCATAAGGACGGAAACCAGCTTTTATTGCCCTGATTGCCCCTCTCAGCCTGGCCTTTGTATTGGCAACTGTTTTAAAGTTTTTCACACCCAGGGAGAATAAGTTGCACATTGTTTATATATATATATATATATATATATATATATATATACACTTTTTTTTTTGTTATTATTTAGTTCTTCCATTTTAAAGTTGCTGACAACGTTTAGGGCCAAGGAGGCTGCTGCAATTCTTACCTATGACTCTGATTATTTCATTATTTTTATTTTTCTAATTTTAGTTAGTTAATTAGGGTGCATGGTAATTCATAGGAAGTTGGGGAGTTTAGTGTTACGCTAGGGGTGAAAAGATTTCTAAAAAAAATAGAAAAAAAAATTCTTTTATAACATTATTTAAAGTTCTTGTGTAAAAAGTAAAAAATACTTAGGAAGTTATGAATTCTATCAGCAGACAGAGTTGACAGGCAGTGCCCCAGAGTTTGATGCAGGTTAATACGGTGATTAATACTTTCTTTAAAAAAAATGGTAGGCCTTTGTGTGGTAGTTTGAATTATCAGCCTGCTAAGATGTTCTAAAATTGCACATGGACCCAGCGTCAAAATTCAAGGTTGGAAAAAAAAAAAACTGATATGGCTTAGTCTCCAATGTGCCCCTACACATGGGGGTATTGTTGTACTAAGACGACATAGCTCACAACATAATAGGTGTTATACTGCCGTAGCACACATAAGGATTGCAAAATATACAGTAACATCTCCAAGTGTGTGTCAAAAAGGCAGAAAAAATGCTAATTGCTACTAGACTTGGTACATAGTTAAATATTTACAGAGCTGAAAAGAGACTTGTGTCCATCAAGTTCAGCCTTTCTCACATATGTTGTTGCTGTTGATCCAAAAGAAGGCAAAAAACCTAGTCTGAAGCGCTTCCAATTTTACCATAAACTAGGAAAAAATTCCTTCTTGACCCCAAAATAGCAGTCAGATGTCTCCTTGGATCAAGCAGCTATTACCCCACTAATTAGAAATTATTTCCCTGTATGTTATGTTTTTGTAAGTATTTATCCAATTGCAGCTTAAACCTCTGTAGTGACTCTGACAAAACCACCTCTTCAGGCAGAGAGTTCCATATCCTTATTGTTCTTACTGTAAAAAACCATTTTCTTTGCCTTAGATGAAATCTCCTTTCTCGTATAGCCCTGTTTATGAATAGATTTCCAGATAAAGGTTTGTACTGGCCCCGAATATATTTGTATAAAGTTATCATATCCCCTCTCAGGCGCCGTTTTTCCAAACTAAACAGATTTAATTTTTTTAACCTTTCTTCATAACTAAAATACTCCATTCCTTTTATCAATTTTGTAGCAAAATTGCACAGCATATTCAAGGTGTGGTCTTACCAGCGATTTAGAAAGAGGCAAAATTATATTTTCATCCCGAGAATTTATGCCCCTATTTATACATGACAAAACCTTACTGGCCTTAGCAACTGCAGATTGACATTGCATATTGCTGCCTAATTTGTTATCTATAACAATTCCCAAATCCTTCTTGTGTGTGGTTATCCCTAATTCACTACCATTTAGGGTGTAAATTGCTTGTGCATTCTTAACCCGGAAGTGCATAACTTTGCATTTCTCTACGTTAAATTCCATCTGCCATTTTAGTGCCCAGTCCCTCAATCTATCCAAATCCCTCTACAGCAAAGCAATATCCTGCTCACATTTTATTACTTTACAAAGTTTTGTGTCATCTGCAAACACTGATACATGGCTTTCAATGCCTATTTCAAGATCATTTATAAATATGTTAAATAGAAGTGGTCCCAAAACAGAACCCTGAGGGACACCATTTACCACTTTTGACTAGCCTGAAAATTTACCATTAATGACAACTCGTTGTACTCTATCCTTAAGCCAATGTTCTACCCAAGAACAAGAATATTCATCTAGACCAATTTCTTTTAGTTTGAAGATTAACCTATTGTAAGGAACCTGTGGCGAAACTAACCTCGCCACTGTACACTGGAGAAGCCTGGTTGCTCGCCTGCTGCCTTTGGACTATGGCCCCATGTTAAAAGACATATTTTTTCCCTGCAGAAAATACTTATTTGTGCTTTTCTGCCGGGTGTTCGGTAGATATGTTTGAGTGTGTTGTACCCCAGATACGAATCCCATGGAGCCCATTCGCATGAAACTGACTGTGTAAAGACTTTGGCTCCATGGCGTTTAAACTGTATTCGGGTGGTCTGAGCGCCATTCGCTTAATAATGTGCGCTCAGACCTGAGCTATCTGGGGATATGTAGAACGTATATGTTTATGTACTGAATGTAACTGTAGGTAATTTTATGTCTTTTACTGTTTGTTTTCTGCCATGTGGTTAATGGAGTTTTGCCTCTGTCTTTGGAGATAATTGAATTACTTCTCAATTATCTCCAGAGCAGAGAGGAGGAATTGTGATGCATTGTGGGATGGTTGAAATGTGTAAGTCTGTGATTGGTCATTTTACCCTTTGTGTCCCAGTCTCCCATTTGGTCCCCTAGAGGAGTGTCCACCAGGTGGGAGACCTGCATAAAAGCCGGGCAGTTAGCCCCAGTAAATCAGTTCCTGCTTAACCCTCAAAGTGAAGTGTCGTCTCATTATTGGGGGAGGATTTACTGTATGCTGTTAGAGACTGATTGCCAGGAGTGTAAGCTGCTTGGGGGCTTTTCCTGTTTGTCTGCTGGCAGTTATTCGTGTGTCTCCAGTTCGGGAGTTTCGAGTATTCCCTTGGTATGCAGTTCGGAAGTTGGTGAATTCGTGGGTTTGCAGTTCAGGAGATTGGTGCTTGCAGTAGCTGTCGGTGCAGCTGAAAAAGGGGAATATCGCCTAAACGGTTTTTAACCTCTTTTGGGCAAAACGGTCCGTTACAATTGGTGGCAAGCGACGGGATCATTTCCACAGCCCAGAAGGACAGCTATAATACAACACCAGTTCCTGGATTACAAATTGAGGGCAACGCCAGTACCCGTACAGCGACCCTATGTACAAAAGAACCAACTTCAGCCGTCCAAGCATGGCACCCAGCTACACTCAGGAGCAGTATGACAGAGAGTTTACCATGCGGCTGGCTTTCTTTGGACCCAACCCCCTGGAGAAATACGTGCAGTTCGTGAGGAGACAGGTAGAAGAGTACCTGCAGGTCGGAGCAGGGCAGACACGTGAGTTGGCAGGTTGGGAGAGACCCCAGTGGCCGAGCAAGTTACAGAGAGAGAAGCGTGTCGTCCTTCCTCCCCAGTGGCAGTGTGTGTCCCAGGGAGCTGAAGGTGTCGTCCTTCCTCCCCAGCGGCAGTGTGTGTCCCAGGGAGCTTAAGGTGTCGTCCTTCCTCCCCAGCGGCAGTGTGTGTCCCAGGGAGCTGAAGGTGTCGTCCTTCCTCCCCAGCGGCAGTGTGTGTCCCAGGGAGCTGAAGGTGCCGTCCTTCCTCTCCAGCAGCAGTGTGTGTCCCAGGGAGCTGAAGGTGCTGTCCTCCCTCCCCAGCGGCCATGTGTGTTCTTAGGAGAAGAGACAGTTGGTCCCTCTCCTCAGCAGTCAAGTGAGTCCCAGGGAGCTGAAGGTACCGTCCTCCCTCCCCAGCAGCAGGACAATATATTGAAAGGGGAGACAGTCGGTTCCCTTCTCCCCCAGCAGGGAGAGTGTCAGGGAGAAGAGCTTGTTGCCCCCTCTCCACAGCGGCAGCCAAGGAGAGACATTAAGCTCCCCACCGGTGCAGATGGGACCGTGGTCTCTGCGCCCAAGCTACAGGGAGTACGGACAGCTGGTCCGGCTCCCCAGCGGCAGAGTATTCTACCAGGAGGGGAGAATACTTCCCAGCGGCTGTCTAGCCCACCAAGGGGAGATGCGAAGCCCCACAACCGTGCAGATGGGACCGTGGTCTCTGCACTTACAGCACAGGGGGTAGGGATGGTCGGTTTTGCCCCCCAGCGACAGGGCTGTTTAGCCAAAGGGGAGACATTCGGTCTCCCCCTCCAGCAACCAGGCTCCAACCTGACCACTCCCATGGTAGTGCTGGCACCAGGACAGAGTACCGCTGGTCTCTGCCCACTCAGCAACCCACCCAGTCCGCTTACCAGTCACCCACACAGCCATGGTGAGGCGCCTGGACATGGACAACGCTCTCCTCTACCCAGGTGTAGTAACCAGTTCTTGTGGGTGGGCGATATTACTGATTGTGTTTTGTGGGTGGGCTGCTGGACTAACAAGGGCACTGACCGGCATGAGGTCAGATACCCTGTTAGTCTGATTGGTAAAGGGGAGAAGTGTGGTGAAACCAACCTCGCCACTGTACACTGGAGAAGCTTGGTTGCTCGCCTGCTGCCTTTGGACTATGGCCCCATGTTAAAAGACATAATTTTTCCCTGCAGAAAAGACTTATTCGTGTTTTTCTGCCGGGAGTTCGGTAGATTTGTTTGTGTGTGTTGTACCCCAGATAGGAATCCCATGGAGCCCATTTGCATGAAACTGACTGTGTAAAGACTTTGGCTCCATGGCGTTTAAACTGTATTCGTGTGGTCTGAGCGCCATTCGCTTAATAATGTGCGCTCAGACCTGAGCTATCTGGGGATATGTAGAATGTATATGTTTATGTACTGAATGTAACTGTAGGTAATTTTATGTCTTTTACTGTTTGTTTTCTGCCATGTGGTTAATGGAGTTTTGCCTCTGTCTTTGGAGATAATTGAATTACTTCTCAATTATCTCCAGAGCAGAGAGGAGGGATTGTGATGCATTGTGGGATGGTTGAAATGTGTAAGTCTGTGATTGGTCCTTTTACCCTTTGTGTCCCAGTCTCCCATTTGGTCCCCTAGGGGAGTGTCCACCAGGTGGGAGACCTGCATAAAAGCCGGGCAGTTAGCCCCAGTAAATGAGTTCCTGCTTAACCCTCAAAGTGAAGTGTCGTCTCATTATTGGGGAGGATTTACTGTATGCTGTTAGAGACTGATTGCCAGGAGTGTAAGCCGCTTGGGGGCTTTTCCTGTTCGTCTGCTAGCAGCTATTTGTATGTCTCCAGTTCGGGAGTTTTGAGTATTCCCTTGGTTGCAGTTCGGGGGTTGGTGAATTCGTGGGTTTGCAGTTCAGGAGATTGGTGCTTGCAGTAGCTGTCGGTGCAGATGAGAAAGGGGAATATCGCCTAACCGGTTTTTAACCCCTTTTGGGCAAAACGGTCCGTTACAGAACCCTATCAAATGCCTTGGCAAAATCCAAGTAAATCACATCCACTGCAACACCCTAAACTATACTTCTACTTACTTCTTCGTAGAATGCAATTAGGTTAGTTTGACATGACCTATGTTTCATAAAACCATTCTGATTATTGCTAATAACAAAGTTCTTCCCAATGAATTCCTGAATATTATCCCTTAATAGCCCTTCACATATTTTCCCAGTTACAGAAGTTAAGCTCACAGGTCTACAATTTCCAGGC